GATTATTTACAATTAACCACTCAAAAACCAGAAGTAGCACTGTGGCTCAAGTGGTAGAGTGCTAACCTTGAACACAAAAAGGCTCAGGAACAGTGTCCAGGCCTTGAGTTCAAGCCCCTAAACAGATCAAAAGCAAATGTAAATAATGTAAATATAAGATCAGCTACAAAAGTAAGTAGAAAATATTAATCAGCTATAAAGCTCTGAATCAATCTTACTGGATATTAATTCCATATTTCAAATGTTAATGACATAAAAATGACAAATGTTTTGGGTAGTGAATATGCTTACTACTTAAATTTGTACATACATATCAAAACATCACATAGGGCAGCAGTACTATGTACAATTATGTGTCAATCAAAAAATAAAATTAATACTAGCCAGAGTCAGAGATTTTGGTTTGAGACCACCCCAGGCATACAAGTTTGTGTGACTCTATCTTACTCAATAGGAACAGGCCTGTTACACCAGTTGTAAGGAGAGTAGAATGGCTAAGCACAATGCATACCTGATATATCTATAGACACAGGGGGCTGGGAAGGTGGCTCAGTGGTAGAGTGCTTGCCTTGCATGCATGAGGCCCTGCGTTCGATTCCTCAGCACCACATAAACAAAAAGAAAAAAGCCGGAAGTGGCACTGTGGCTCAAGTGGTAGAGTGCTAGCCTTGAGCTGAAGAGCTGAGGGACAGCGCCCAGGCCCAGAGTTCAGGCCCCAAGACCGGACCCCCCCTTCCCCCCCCCCAAAAAAAAAAAAACAATACAGACACAGGGAAACATGAGTAGGCAGATCACACTTCAGGCCAACTTGGGCATAAAGCAAGATTTTATCTCAAAAGTAACTCAGCCACAAAAGGGCTGAAGGTTTGACTAAAGTATAAATGAAAGAGTACTTCACAAGTATAAAACCCTGAGTTGAATTTAATCCAAAATTGTTTTATTTCTTCAAATTAAAGCATAAAATTAACCTTAAAATTTTAGAATTAAGAATGTAACTCAGTGATCTAGCTTAACATGTGTGCCACACTGGGATCAAGCTCAAGCAACATCAAAAATGTTTTGTTTTGTTTTGGTTTTTGGTTGGTCATGGGCTTGAACTCTGGGCCTGGGGGCTGCCCCTCAGCTCTTTAGCTCAAGGCTAGCACTCTACCACTTGAGCCACATTGCTATTTCTGGTTTTCTGGTGGTTTATTAGAGATAAGAGTCTCACAGACTTTCCTGACCAGGCTGGCTTTGAAACACAATCCTCAGATCTCAGCCTCCTGAGTAGCTAGGACTACAGGTGTGAGCCACTGGTGCCTGGCTGATTTCATTTTTTTAATGAAAAAAGTTACTGCAATAAGTTCCATCACATCACAATATACCACACACTATGGTGTATAGAACACATCGAAAGAGGTTCAAAATCAAAGGGCCCATATCTACTCATAAAAATGTTGAGGGCTAATTAATTTGGGAAGGTATCTTAGAATTCAGATTAAGTAGAAATATCAGTTGGACAACTATACTATTAGTGTAAAAATATCCATATCTACTACACATACTTTAAAATTGAGTTCGAAAAACATAGTATCAGCATTAAAGCTTTTTTTTTCCAATTCAAGTGAGAATTAAATGCAGATATGAAAATGGAAGAAATTTGGAGAAAACAAGTGGTTTAGTGATTGAAAGAAATCTTCAAGGACATATAATCTAGTGGTAATTTATATATATATATAAATATATGCATATATGTCTATATATTTCAAATAGCAATAGATATTATATTAATGTTAGCAAAAAGATCAAGATGAGATTACAAGTGCTATTTCTGATAAATCCATATATCATACTCGAAGCACATGGAGCCCTGGAAAGTTGTAGCCACAATAAAATAAAAACTTTCCTGCCGGGCGCTGGTGGCTCACACCTGTAATCCTAGCTACTCAGGAGGCTGAGATCTGAGGATCGCGGTTCAAAGCCACCCCGGACAGGAGAGACCGTGAGACTCCTATCTCCAATAAACCACTAGAAAACCGGAAGTGGCGCTGTAGCTCAAGTGGTAGAGCGCTCGCCTTGAGCTGAAGAGCTGAGGGACATCGCCCAAGCCCAGACAAAAAAAAAAAACTTTCCTAACTCTTTATATTATTTTTCAAACATTCTAATGGGTCTTTAACTGATATTGGTTACTACTATTTTTGATGCATTATTCATGAGCACTTCCTTTCAATCAAAGAAAAGATAATACAAAGTAACATCCATGTCTTGATAACTTGTTATCTTGTTTATTGTATTGTTTTACATATTCTTGTAGCTAATCAAAATTTGTTATGAGCAACTTCAGTGAATCAGTACATCATCCCAAGGTTGGGTGTATACTTAAGTAGAACACATTATTTTTTTTTCTGAGAGATCTGTAATTGGTCTCAATCAAGTTAATTATTTACCTTAATCGTATAAGAGGAAAAAGTTAAACTCACTGTCAAGTAACAACTAGGTTTTTAAGCAACTTTCATAAGCCTGAGAATGCAAGAAATCCCAGTAAGTCTACAGAAGCTGAAGCTGAAATAGAGCTGAGGGCACAGGTATCCACGATGAAAAATAAAGGCAAAATCAAGTTGTAACCCTATCATGGACTATAGCACTTAGAACTTAGTCTTCTAATTTTATTTTGTTTGGTAACTGTGACTCCCTTTTGATTTGTTTCAGAAAGAAATCAGTTAGTACTTTATATCTAGACTATTTTTTTTTTAATGTGGGTGTTTAAGGCATGATAAAAGTCTTATAGGAAGGTGAAGTTCAGGTCACCTAAAATTAAATGCCCATCATTCAGGCAAACAATTTTTAGGAGGTCATTACTAAAAACTAAAACATTATGGGAATATTATAAAAGTACCCATGGCAATGAAGTCAACCTCTTAACATCATCAGACTATTAATAACTATGTTATTAATACAATGTTAATATGCTAGGAACAATGCTACTTAATAAGTCGGCAAAAGTAAAATGTAACCAAGTAACAAAACTGAAATAGCAAAACTATCCTATGGTTCCACACACTTTGCACAATATACTTTTGCTAAATTACAAGGGATTGTTTGGCACTTTAAAAAGGCCTATCTTTCTGGAGAGATGGGGGAGAACAGTATGATGGACGGAAAGGAGTTGAAAAGTTGGGGAGCCAGACAAGGAATGATTTAAAGATAAAGTAACAAAATATATAAAGATCTCCCTTTTTATTAACACTAGTTGCTAATTCTACACCTACTTGAACTTAAAACATGTTCAAGAACATTCATAATCAGTAAATGACGAACATTGTTATTACTAAGCATTGTTTTTTATTCACCTTTGTAGTTAGCTGTGGCCTACTGTGCAATATGTAAATGAAGGTCAGGTATGAAAAGGTATGTCCTGAAATGGAAATGGTCCATCTCTATATTCAAGTTCAAACTGTAACCTCAAGCTTAAGATTCTGGGAACACAGCTCACAGCTTTTCAACTTTGAAGTCTTAAACTACTCATAAATCCCAGCTTTTTAGTTATGAATTATATATAGTTTTTAAAGAGGATATAACAAGTGTTTTTTACAAACTACAACTACAAGATCTTTTAATCTCAATCATTTAAGAATGACAAGAACACAGGAATCGGTTTAAAACTTTTCCGTGACGATACGCAACACATTAAGTGACTTGTTAAATAAACATGTTCGTATAACCTTGCAAGTGTTTCAAATTTAATGCAAATTGGAAAAAATTTAAATTCTATTTTACATATTATTTTAACTAAGAATTCAAAAGAAATGGAAAAAAGTCACACTAGAACCTGTGGTAAAAAATGTAATAAATTTCTCCTTTGTTCCCCTATTTTTACATTGATTTATCTTTCTATTGATACTCTACTTGACAGCAAGTAGAAAGATAAAGTGACAAAGCATTGTTAGGTAAAGCGAACAAGGAAAGATAGAGAGTTAGGGAGGTAGGAAAGAAGTTACCTGGAGAATTGGTGTAAAAAGTGTCATTGTAGGTTTTTTTAATGAGAAATTTTCATAATAAAAATTATAAGACTATGAGAATCAGACAAGATCCCCATCTTTTTTTTGTGCTCTATGTTTGCACTTTGAACTTTATAGGTAAGGGAGGTTATCAGGGCCACCATACAATGTAAGAAGGAGATTTAAGAACAAAGCACTATAACATGCAAATCATGGAATATAAAAGGACACAATAAACTAGCCAATCTTAATTTTCAAAATCTTACCAAAGGCAATTTTATCCTGGCCAAGTAGGAGGAGCAATTTAATTGGAAGATGATTGGAGAAAGTAAATAATTTTATTTTAAACATCACTACTTCAAAGTATTATAAGACTAATTTAACCAATCTAAAAATAATCATCTAATGATTAAAAAAAAAAAAAAAACAAGGGAAAAATCTTGTTAAAAGTCTTAATTTGAAGTAGAAATGCAGATAAAATGTACCACTGACAAGTCTTTTCACCTCTTTAGACTCCAAATCCATAAAACAGGAGGGTAGAACTAGATTATCAAAGTTCCGTGCAGATTTGTTTAATGCATTCATTTTTCACCCTCACTGCCAAGAAAGACCATAGTTCTAATTTCACACTCAAAACCATGAGAAAAACTCAAGTGAGTGATTAAAATGAGAAATTGAAGCTACTCATAATATGTTGGAATGCTTAGTTTGAGAATAAATCACAAGTGTATCTTATTCATCAACAGTACAGTTTCTATTTTTATGATATGAAATAACGAATATAAAGAATTATATAGACACTTTTCAAAAGCCCCTGGGGTTCCATTTAAGGCCAAAACTTTAATATAGTATATTAAATCTAGATAATTTCTCACAAATATTTTTAGGTTAACAAAAAGCACATTGAACATTAAGTTTCATTGAATTAACAGTGCTACGGAAAACTTTCCCATTTTCCTTCACTTGCTTCCACAGTACAGAACCTCCCCAGTAACTGAGAATTAACTGAAACTCAGTACTTACCACAACAGCAAACTGCTCAGGTTCACATAAGTTGTTAAAGTCATTCTGGAACTGAGACAATGAATTCAATTGTTCTTGTTCAGGAAGATGTTTTATTAAGTTCTAAAAATTAAAACCATGAGAAAGTCTTCTCATTAAATGTACCAATCAATTTTTGGAAAAATTGATAAACTATATAAGGAAACAAGTACAGAAGTTAGCCTTTTGGTTTTTTCTAGATTACTTCTCTTTATAGTAAGCTTTAAGGAACATTCCATGCATCCTCAAAGCAAACAATTTTCCTCTCTTTTATGCCAAAGTTATTAATGTGAAAATCAAGTATTACAGAATGTTTATTTGATTAGCTGATAATTAAGAAGGAAGAATTTAACCTATGCCAACAGAACAGATTTCTCACCAGAATAAATGTGATCCATTACATTTCAGCTTACGGAATTGAATGTCAGAAAATTTAGGCAAACTCAAACATATTTTCTCGCTTTATTCAGGGGAATAAAAGAACTGATCTTATTGCTACCAAAAGGCAAGGGAAATAATAGAAAGTAAGTCAATGGAATTTTCATGACAATGCACAGAAGATTTAGCTGATAGAGCTATTTGAATTTAAAAAAAAAACTGAAGATACCTTTAGAACAAAAACAGTTAAGTTTCAAAAAATTATAGACACAAGGTGACACATCTTGCAAATAAAATGCATATAAAGATACTTAGGAATATAATTACTAATGGGTATAGAAATCATGTTGTTGTTGTTTTGTTTTGGAGTTTGGTTTCCTGTGGCATGTACAACCTTTCCAAATGCACACTAAACCAACAACACAATCACTTCAAAAAATACCAGGGTAATACATATGTTTTCCAGATAGAATTTACATGATTAAACAATCCCTGGGAAAAATCAGCATAGATTCTCTGTTTAAAAATTTAACCAACCATAAGTCATATAACTAGTTAGTGTGTTGATAGCAAAATTAAAGAGTAAAACAAAGTGGTTGGTATTTACAATTCCAAGTTAAAACATCAGTGATTTTACACAAAGCCAATGTCAAGTGCAGATTATAATTAAGCTGACAGCATGCTATAACATATTTATTGGCAGAGAAATATCCCCAAAAGCATTATTAGCTTAAAATATTGTTAGAGGATATTATGGGTCAAAAATAGACCAAAGAACAAATTAATGACTCACTGTGTACCTTTGGACAAAATCTTGGTTGACTGGCCAAAACAAACAAAACAAAACAAAACAGCAGCAACTTAAGATAACTTCTAGAAAACATAGTAACCATTAATTCCAGCAAAGAGAATAAAAACAGCAACGGCATATGATTTTGCCATACAAATCAATTTTTCTTAGTGGAACTGTCTAAAAGAGCTAGAGTATTTATACCTTCTCTTAACCATTCTTTAAAAAAAAAATTGTTTTAGTACTGAAATTAGGGATCTTGTGCTTGGTCAGCTGCTGCTCTACTACTTGACTTTGTCACAATGACAGCTTGTTTTTTTGTTGGATATTTTAGAAAAGGAGCCTTTCAGCCAGCTTTGCAAGTGATCTTCTAGATCTCAGCCATGTAAGTGATTACAATTACAGATGTGAGCCATCAATCCATAGTTGCCTTTCTTTAACAGTCTTTTCCAAGGCCAATCAGATCTCTAAATATATTTTTGTTCACATATACTTAGATTTTTTTTGTTCACATATAGAACTTTTCACATATCTCATGTATATAGTTTGACCTTTTGTCAGAAATTTATCTTGATATCCCATTATTTTCATGTTTCAAAGTGAAACACAATGTGAATTGTCCTGATTTTGTGCATGCTCACGTGGTTTTCCCCTGCTCCACTCAGCGTTACTACTGCCAGAAGAACTGCCCATCACTACATTCATACATGATTCTGTTCTTGACTATAATTTATTCACCCTCCAAGTACCCTCAGCATCACATGCACACGTGAGCGCACACGCACGCGCGTGTGCGTGCGCACACACACACACACACACACACACACACACACACACACACTCCCCAGAGGACATTGTAGGGAAGCATTCTCTATGTCCTACCAATTTTGATAAAGCTGTGTATGGGAGGTATTATAATTACATATGTAAATGTCAACTTTCTTGCCAAAATACACATTCCAAGGTAAACTGATAGAGCCAAATACAATGTTTTTGCATATTAGTGGGTACTATAAAATATTAGTGAAAGAAATTAATAAAAGTCTGATGGATCAGAGTCATATTTATTAGCACTTACTTTAAAAGGATATTTTAAACACCACACCCTCCATGGTTTGCCTCATTTGTAATAATTAACAGAGTTAATTCTAGCAGAGGATCACAATTGTTCTGTACGTATGAGCATATAAATTAATGCTAATCAAAATGAACTCCAAGATATGAAAGTTTTTAGTGTGTTTTTTTCACGTATTGGATGAAGTTAATTCTTTTTTCGTTTGTTCCCCCAAACCCCAACCTTTGGTTTTATCCCGTTGTCATTGTTTTTGATTGTGGTACCCTGTGTCTTGTATATATGTTTATCTGATTTGGGGAGGGGAAGAATAACAATCAAGGCAATAATGATACTTACTTATAAGACACTATGTTGGAAATGAACTTTACTACTTGGAGGGGAGAGGTGTTGGGGGAAGGGAAAGTGGGAGAAAACAAGGGAAGGGCAACAATTTTGGACAAGAAATGTGCTCACTACCTGACTTATGTAACTGTAATCCCTCTGCACATCACCCTTACAAAAAAATTTAAAAATAAAGAATGACTCTCATAGGAGGCCTGAAAATGACATGTTACTGATCTGTTTCATATGAATAAATAACTAGATATGCTAAAATTAAAATATTGCAATGAACACAGTCAGCCAAAAAGGCGATTTCTACACACTGTCAAACTATCATTTCATGTGAATATTAGAAGAAGAAACTTTTACACTAAAATAGTGAAAATATCATAAAATTTTTATTCTTATTGAACTAGGAAATCCTCACATATGAAAAAAAATTGAAAATCATGAACAATGCCTCATACTTAGAAAACATAAAGGGCAGAATGATAATGCATGCCCCAGTAGCTATTCTCAAGAATCTACTAAAGGGATTAAAGCTACAGATGGGATCTCATTTGCTACAGGCTGATTAAATCAGGTGATTATCCTGGATTACCCAAGTGTCCAATGTAATCACCAATATCTTTAATAGGTGGGGGGAATAGAGCAATTGTGTGAGATGTGACCAGAAAAAAAGAGGGGGTGGGGTTCTGATTTAAGACAAAAAGAAGAGAAGCTAGAAAAGACAATGATATGGATTCTTCCTCCCAATGTATAGAAAGGAATCCAGGTTTGCCAACACTTACCTTTTGTTATTTATATAATGATGTTTGTGGTGAATTGTTATAAGAGAAATAGAGAAGTAATACATTATCCTAGCAACTAGTAAGGCAGAAATTTCAGGATCATGGTTGAAAGCCAGCACTGGTCAAAAAAAAAAAAAAAACAGAGTTCACACAACTACAGCTCTACCAAGAGATCTGCATGGTAGAATGTGACTGCTATCCTACACTCCATGGAAAGCACAATGGCTATGTGAGGTGGTGTAATGGCAATCTGTCATCTCAGTGACATGGGACGGAACAAATAAGATCATCGCTACACCCAGGCTGACCTGGACATAAGGAAAGATCCTGTCTCAAAAATAAATCACACAAAAAGTCCACCTGGGTAGTGATACTCTGTGTTCAAATTCCAATACTGAAGGAGAAAGTAAGGAGAGTATAAGAGGAGGGGGGTGGGCAGAAGAGAGAGAGACACACACACAGAGAGACAGACAGACAGACATACAGACAGAGAGGGGGCCAGACAGACAGACATAGAGACACAAGAGATTACATAAAGCTGAACCAAATGAACTTTTTTTGTCAATCTATACAAGTCACGATTATCCAAAGTATTCATGTAATCAAGTAAAAGCTACTTTGTAAATATTTAACAAACTCATCATAATATAAACATGTTTTGAATAGAAAAATTTTCTTTAAGGGACTGGGCATCTGCTCCCAGCAAGAAGTCACATAAACAATCAACAATTTTAATCCAAATCCAGTTGGATTAAAAAAAAAAAGTTGCTGCAGGGAAAATAGTGCTTAAAGAGGAGTTACTGAATTAGATGGGTTAGAGGTTCATAGCAGAAACCACAAATGAGAATGCATTACTACCTCAAGCACCAGATAAAAGAGAAGCCTGGAATCATTTGTATAGACACATTTTGTTAATTGGTTAAGTTACCTAGAATAATTTTAATCATTATTTACACAAATAATCTTTCATTTTTCTTCATGTTGCTAATAAGAACTGTTTTGTAGCCAGGTTCAGGCAGCTTATGCCCATAATCCTAACTACTTGGAGGCTGAGATCTGAGTATCACAAGTTCTAAGCTAGCCCAATAAAAAAGTCTCTCAGACTCTTATCTCAAATTAACCACCAAAAAGCGAAAAGGGAAGCTGGGCTAAAGTGGTAGACCTCATTCTTAAGCAAAAAAGCTAAGGGACAGTACTATGTGCCCACACATACACACATACACACACACACACACGCATACGCACACATACACACACACGCACACACACACGTGCACACCATGCACACAAAATAATTTTGTATGCATATCCTTATAAAAACAAAGGGACGATAAATAAGGTTTTAACTCACCTTATGATTTGTATTTTGATTCTCCAACTTTAAATTCTCTCAAGACATAAATTCTCCCAATTCTTTATGAGAAATTTAGTAACTTTGGTAGATTAGTTTTTCTTTTAAAAAACAGTGTGAGTTAAAAGTTTTTATAAAAATATTCTGGCCTTCAGAATGAATTAGAATAAAACATAAATAATTTCTAGCCCTCAAAAGAGCACCAATGACAATAGGATAAGGTGTTAGTAAAGGGAAATGAAAGAAACAAAAGCTCTCTAAATTTTCTAGGCCAAATAATAATGAACTCTATAAGCCTAAGAAAAAACACTCCCTAAATTAGTTATAAAAACACTTCCTAGATTAGCGTATCATTCGTCTTAACTGTAAAAAAAAAAAAAAAAGAAAAACAGAAACAAAAGCATATATGTAACATTTAACAGATTGCCTTTCATAGATTGCCATTTAAAATAATTGATATATAATCATTTTGATAGCATTATATGTAGTTTTCAGTGAAGATGCAGTTTTATCACCTAGCAATGCAGAAATTATGCTAAAAGAAATTATGCAGCAATGATTTCCCAGCTGAATGATTTCGGTTAAGAATTTTGCTTCACTTGGATATTTCCATTTATTGAGAAGTATGAAATAAACTATTAAAATTTAAGCTTGGCCTGATTGTTTACCTGGATCATAGATTCTGCCAACTGTGTTTCATCCACTTCTAGTATCATCATTTTGATTTCCTCATATGGCACCCGGAAAGAACTCAGGAAGATTGCTAAAAGAGATAGAGAGGAAATAGGTCCATAATAAATTAGGTGATAAAGAAATTTGAGATGTTCTGTGTATAAGCTAAAAAATAAATATATACAATCGAAAAATGCATACATTTAATATGGTTGTTGAAAAACAACTTTCATTAGCACATTGTATTCTCTTCCCCAGTTTTAGAACCAATGTTTATACAATTATCCTGTACTATTATGCAGTTGCCAAATTTATTTCTAAGTTCTTAGTTATTTGCCTACCAGAGGAATGATATTAATTTTCATGTGATTTAGAACAACTACAGTCTATGACTATGCTATGAAAACATCAAGTTGTATTGAAAAGAATGACAAATCCTAGTATATGTATATAATATCTTGTATGATATCTTGGCTTGTATAAGATCTTCTAGTGCTACTAAATAGTTCACAAGAAACCATTTAAGAAAACTGCTAAATAATACATTAACTCTTTACAAGTAATAGTAGCATTTCACTATTCAAAAGTATTGAAGACAATATGCTGCAAGTAGTAGTCTTTGCATGTCACAAAATCTTAAAATATTTCATTTTAGGAAGAAAATATTCATGAACCAAACAAAACATATAGAATAATACTAGGAATTCCACACATCATTTACACTTTACTTGATACTTAAGTATCTAGTCTTATAAGGTTCTTTCCAAGAACTCTTGAGATATATCATGGTAATTTCACATCATTAAATAGAAATTCTTTCCTCGATTCCTATTCTAACACTGGTTTCATGTGATTCTTATTGTTGTTGTTCTTATTCATATATTATTTACTTTATCAAATGTTGTTTCTTGACCATAGACATCAGTAACAACTTCTGTTTTGTTTTGTTTTTTTCCGTCTGGAGTTCTCTGTCATTTACAATCCAGGTAGTTGCACCTATAAATACTATTTTTTCAAAACCTCAGAAGACATAAACTGCTCCTTTCTTGGACTTTGTTTCTCATCATTGAGGGCAGTATATATCAACTACAGATGAAGAAGGGTGCCTCTGTGTTCTCCACCAGTTTCATTCACATTTTTTAACATAAAGTCAGTTATAATGGAAGTGTGTGCTACCAAGTATGAAATATACTGATATCCCATAATGAAAAGAAGATGAATATTCCATAAGCAAGATGAAATATAAGATGAAAATCTAATAACAAATATTTTTGGAATTAAAAAGCATAAATCTAAACAAAAGTTAAGCCATCAAAAATATATAAAACAAATTGATAAAAAGTACTAGTCCAAGAGACAGAATATGACACGGATTATCTGAAACGGCCCAATAAAAGGTTCAAAATAAACCACAAATAAAATAATACTGGAAAAGAAGTGAAACAGATTTTTTTATGAATTACACAAAGACACAAATCATCAGATTAGGAAGGCTCAATGAATGCCAAATATAATCAATGAAAACACTGAGCTGGAGCCTTGTAAAATACCAAGCACTGGTGAGCTATAACACAGAAATATTCAAGCGTTGTTGCTGAGGAGTAACTGGCTTGCCATAAAGTCTGTTACAACTACCAACCTACTCTAGCACAAAAACAGCCATGGACAATAGGCAAACAAATGGCTTGGCAATGTCCATAAACAACTTTTAAAAAACGGGAAGTGGACAAGAATTAGCATGAGGGCCATCCAAGAATTGAATGAAAAAATATGTCATTAAACTTGCAATGAAATACAGCTAAATGTATTAATATAGTTTGAATAGACTTATATAAAATTCCAAACAAGTCAATGTCAAACTCATGCAAATGGCAGCTAAAACATTAAAAAAAAATGTTTAGTCAAACATTCAGGATAAGGTTCCTATTTACAGTGAGAAATAAAATTGGAGACAGCATAAATAAGCTCTGAAAGTAGAGGAAATGTTTTTGTAATCTATGACTATTTCTTATTAAACAGCAACATGCATTTGATAAATTGCTCATATGTATGATATGCAACAAAACAACATGAAAACACATGGAAAGAATACTGTTAGTTAGAGTACTAACCATATGCTAGTGAAGTATGCCCTTGTACTCTGTACCTGTGAGATTCTAGAAATGCTTGGAACAACCTGTCACCCAAGGATATTGGACCACATCACATAGTCCCATACTAACAAAACTGATTTAAAATGTGGACTCTGAGTCACAGAGTTATTAGTTCTACCTCTGAAATTGAGGTCACTCAAAAGGAAGTAAAGCCACAATAAAGTCCCAGGAAGAACTCTAGACAATGTTACTGAAAAGATTCATAACCAAATTAACACTACTTCAGTGAATTCCTTAAGTATTTTTTAATGAATTATTAAGCCTGAGAATAGTCTTGGAAAAACTGAACTCAGAAATAAGGGTGATAATGAGGATCCACTTGTTGCAGATAAAAATAAACAGCATGATCTCAGCCATGTAAGCAAATAAACATATAAAGAAAAACATAAATACTAATATAAAACATCAAAAACAGAAAAGATTAAAAAAATGGTAGTAAGAGCTTTATCACCTTTCATATAGAGATAACTAATTCTTTTACTTTCTTCTATGTTTGTTATTTGTTCGGCATTTCAAGTATTCTATTTAAAATACCATATATATCAAACATGCATATTTATAAAGCTAAATCTAATTTATGAACTAATTCACGTTTGGAAAGTTAATATCCAACATTCTGATAGCTATGGGGAAAAGGTACAGAAGAGCTTAGAATGACTTACTAAGACAGCTCAGAAAACAGGTACACACTAATTTGAAATACACAAAAGTTACAGGGAATCTTCTATATTATTCAGTTAAAGCTTCCAAAGAGCTCATTAACTTTTTAAACAATTATATATCTTATCTTTCAAAGTGTGATTATATAGATCCTACTAGAAAGTTCTGGTTTCAGTTCAAGAATATAAAATGTCAAGACTTGGGAACCATTCCTGCTTGTTTTTGTTACAAGAATTTATAAATATTTAAACCTTTATATCCTGTAAAACTCACAAGACTTTTCTTGATTCTGGAGTTATATGGTTAAAAATGAAGCCAGTATCTTTGTAATAGCCCTCTTGAACTCCAAAAACCTGAGCTGCCTTTTAGTAAGAAAAGTATGATGAGGCATCTTTGAATCCTTTCCTCAAAATTCTACAAAATACAGTACTGAAGAACAATCACCACAGTGCAGATCTATCTTTTTCTCTTCAATAAAATTTGGAAATGAATTTCTACATTTTCGTGTCAATATTCTACTAAAGTCTACAGCATTACTCCGATTTGTCTCATTCAGAAACTGTTGGTACTATCTCAACAAGATTCTTCTCAGAATTCAGTATACAGACCCTAAATTTTATATATAAAAACCAGCTGAGACTCCAACGATGATTACAGTAAACATAGTAAGATGCTCCAGCTTTATAAAGCTTCTATCATGGGGCTGGGAAGGTGGCTCAGTGGTAGAGTGCTTGCCTTGCATGCATGAGGCCCTGGGCTCAATTCCTTAGCAACACATAAGCGAAATGGTACTGTGGCTCAACTAGTAGAGTGCTAGTCTTGCGCTGAAGAGCTGAGGGACAGCGCCCAGGCCCAGAGTTCAGGCCCCACAACCAACAACAACAACAAAAAAATAACAATTCTGCTACAATCTGAGAGAGCAGAAATAGCACATCATAATATGGCATGTTATATATTCTGGGTCTTTTGATTTTGAACTTTTAAAATATGCTTCTAAATTGAATGACAGGGATATAAATCCTCTATTGTGAAGCAAATAATATGAAGATGATCCTTCTCAATGATAATGTGTTCAAGTGACACTTGTGCCTAATTTATTATGTTGTAAATAACTGTGTGCAACAAGTTCATTATTCAACTGATAAACAGATATTTTAACTAAGTTATAATAGCTATACCATTATGTTATTTAAAATATTTCATAGGAAAATTAACAAGATTATTTAGAGCCAAGATTAGCAATTTTTATAGACTATTGATATTTTTCAAATTAAAATCAGCTACTTTATATCACAGCATACAGATTTTATTCAGATCTAAATTAACAATACAGTGCACTGAATTGAGATAATACTGCAGCATGGAAGAATGATGATGAATATGTGAAAAACTCTGCATATATTAATGTTCTAACAAATACACAAACACAGTTACTCAGAAATTGAGAAAGTATGTTCATTCCACATCAGAGATAGTGTTATATATGTAATATATATCATACATGACATATGATATACATATATCCCCCTCATCACAAGGATGGACATCACACTGACTGCAACATTACATGTGAATGGAAAGAGACCAATGGAGCTTCTCACAGTATTGAGTAAATGTTTACACTCCAAAACCTCCTCAACTCACATACCTAATTTGAGAGAGGCAAGGAGGTGTTATCAGTTTGTACCCAGAACACAAGTGAATTCTGGCAAATAAAATTAATGTCTCCAGACTATCATATAAGGAACTCATCCAACAATATCATAGGGGGTACGGCCACAAAAAAGTGTATTATGAATTCCTAGAGTACAATTTTGTTCTAAGATCTGCTAAAAGCCCAGGTAAGACACGTAAAAAGTGAGAAACAGACAAACCAGATTTACTAGATTCTCCACATTATAACTTCTTGCATCCTCAGAAAGGAGTGAGTATCTGTGCAAGTGTGTGCATGTGTGTGTGTGTGTGTGTGTGTGTGTGTGGTGTGTGTGTGTATGCGTGCGTGTGTGTGTTGACATCTCAGCTACAAGAACTATCTTTATATTTGATGCATTTGAGATTAATTTAGAAATGAGTTGGGAACAAAATTATTTGTCTTCTTCTCACACAATAGTAAAGTCAGGAAGACAGTTTAACACTAAGCATTTAGCTCCTATAACAGTAATTACATCTAAAATATTTCCAGTCAGTACTTCTGAGGAATGGCTTTGAACTGCTCTGATGGGATAATGGAATTCATTGTATTCATCATCCTTATTTCCATTAGTATTCTAATGCTTTCAAGCATGATCAAGAATTGTAAATAATAGAGACTCATAGTTATTAAAAAAAATACATTATCATTAAAAAAATACAATGTCATTGCCTGAATTCCTGGTCTTTACTTATATACATTAAAAGAAAGTAGCTCTCTTTTCATTTATGTAAGGTAGAATTTACCCCATATCCTTTATTTATTCTAATTTGAAGCAATCAATTTAAAATGTAAATTAATTTTATAATTTAATAATTTTTAATCCTTTAATTTCACAATTGCAAGAAAATATTTATCTTTACATCTATTATTTAAACAATGAAATTAAAATAACAAAATGAAAACAAGTCATAAAATGAAACAATTTAAATAAAATACCAGCCAGCATATGTTTTGGATAATTTAATTGCACTGAATGTGATACTTACAAAGGTTTTGGGCAATTTTAGAATCCAGAAATTTAAGTTCTTTGATTCTTTTTTTAATAATTTTCTTTTCCTCAAAATCTTCTTCATCTCTTCTCTCTATAAAAGAAATGATAGAAATGTTATGAGATATATGACATCAAATGCAAAAGAGCAGAAAGTGAATTCTCCAAAAAATCAAAATCCTAAATACACATACACACACACACACACACACACACACGTATCTTATAAGTCACAATTATTAAAAAAAAAAAAAAAAAAAACCACATATCCCAAGACCAAAATTGTTGCAGATGAGCACTGCTGATTCTTAATCTAGAAAAACTATGGAAAGTAAATATCTGAAGATCTAACAGGAAAAGGAAAAATAAAACTGTGGATCATCATGGAAACATACCTGATAGAACTGGTATAAGTACAGTTACTTTTGTGAACAGTATACGGAATACAATAATAATTTGTGTGCCTACACTTCGCTAGTTTGAAAAGTTAGCCCTGAGAATGTTAAACATAAACAACCACATTGCTACTGTTTGGTAAGATGTTCATTTAAAAGTGGAAATCCTACGAAATACCAAGAATCAAATGAATGTAACTTTTATTTCAGTCAAATTTTATACACAGCTCCCTTTACCTGATTGTTCTAAGAAATCAATGAATAAATTTAACAACTTTGTTTTGATAAAGTATACAACAACTGTGCTAGCAACAATCTATAAGATCTGTAATGGCAGTGCAGTGTATGATAACCATATTTAACAGTTATTCCTAATGAGGTACTGTGTCATCTTTCCTCTCATTTTGGACCATGGACAATGTTCTGAACTTCAGTTATCTTGTAAAATTAGAATGTCAGTAAGCAAGAAGAGGCATAACTAGTTGTAATAATTGTGTGTGGATGTATGTAGATAGATAGATAGATAGATAGATAGATAGATAGATAGATAGATAGATAGATAGATAGATAGATAGATAATATAGTATATAATTTGGTACTACATATAATACAGTTCATTATAATTCTATTATTTTAAGACAGAAAGAAGCATGTTTTATTTCATATCTTAGTACAGAGTATGAATTAAAAATAAAAATTATATAATTTGTGTATGACCAACCATAATACTGAATTTTAAATGATATTTTTATCTCATACTTAATATTTAAATATATTAATCCTTTTTTTTTTTCCTTTGAGCAACTAATTCAACTTCATTTATTTTAGTAGTTACACTTAGGCAACTATCCATCCATGTTAAATCCTATAGATTTATATTTTAATAATTGGTGCTTCATACATTTAAAAATCTGTTTTACACCAACAACAGCATAAGAAACTATTGGAATTTTATTTGAATTGCAAGGCAATTCAGTTATCTTGACAATGAATTTCTGATCAAGACCACGGCCTGCTTCTATAATTCTTCAATAAACACAATTTCCCTCATAAACAACTCATGTGTGTGTTTTTTATTGTGTTAGTATCCTCAGGATATATGCGAACTCTATAGGGGAAAGAAAAGTTGTTGTAAGAGGAGAAAAGGTACTATTTCAAAAGAACAAGATCAAAGGGGGATAGGGGTGCTGAGAGGGAAATGAGAGATGATATGATCAAAGTAAGTCTTATGAATATAAAAAATATCACAATAAAAACAATTATTCTGCAAAATCAATACATACTAATGAAAATGGAAAGAGGTAAGGATTCTGACCTGTATAGGCAGAAACTTTGTATAGAGATACTTATAGCCAAACAAATGATATTTATATATAGCATATATACGTATATGCTTATGTATGTGCGTATATATATATATATATATATACACACATATATATAGTCAACATCGGTGTGCACATGTACAAATCCACCAAGTAAAGGACAGAGAAGGAAATGTGTAGGCTTAAACAACCAGGTAGATGACAGGGGAGTTTTTCATTTAATTTGCCAACCAAAGAAGAACAGGTTAAGCTAGTCCAGTTTTAAACATGTTCAGTTTAAGCTGAAATTCCATATTCACGTGGGAAATTCACGTATAAAAGAAGCATCTTAGCATATGAAGGGCAAAAAAAGTAGAATAGAAGGATGGGTATCAGCCCAAATAATTATCCCATTGACGGTCAAGGTTACCCAGGTGCCAAATTATAACACATATATTTCACAAACTTTCACTCTGAAATGTTATATTGATTGAAATTTTCAGCCAAGCACTAATTAGAATCTTAGTATGATTCCTTTCTTTAATGTGACCAAATGACAGTCCTCTATTTTTTAGAAGGCATTATATTTTCTTTGTTACCAAGAAAAGGACAGAGTAATGTCTAGAGTCATCAATATTCTCTCACATTGTGAAATATTTTCTATCTGAAGAGAAAGTAACACAAGTAACCTTAAATTTTAAATAACACTGCACTGACCACTTTGTTACAGATTCTTACATAAACCTTGCATTACTCAACATTAAAATGCTATCATTCTCACAATGAAAAAAGTTTCCTATTATAAATAATTTTAAGTAACAAATTAAACCAATAAAAGGATGAATATCACCTGAATTAGACTGAAGTATACTTCTTACTGGTTAAGCAATGTCTGTCTTTTTCAGAAAACCTGACGACAAGATACCCTCTTGCTGACTTTAATGTCTCACCATATTCAATGCAACAGATTTATGGTTTCCTTCACCTTTCTACTACAGTACCGCCCAAGAGTAGAACATAAAGAGTGAGAATAGACGTGGATGGGAAGACCAGAGCATTCTTAGAAAATAACAGGAATCAAAACACAAATATGTCTTTGCTGATATCAGATAATGAGTCAAATTAGCTAAATTAGTCAGCTCTTTAATCTTGAGGGATGCAAGGTAAATATTCAGCCAGATAAGGAATTGACACAAGTCAGTGAAAAATTAGAACAAATGTATATGCAAAAGCCATTAACAAGGAAGTATCAGAATAACTGCAGCTATTATATTGGTACATGGTCTGAGTGAACTCTCCAAAAGTCCTTTGCTAGAAATGTGATCCAGTCTGCTGGACTTTTAAGAGATGATGCCTAAAGGGAATATGTGAGATTGATGGAGGTGCTGCTCTGAGAGTAGAATAAGATAGTTCTTACAGAGCCCTGGTTAATGCTGGCCCGAATGGCCTCTCTGGCTTCTAGTCTTGCCATGTGATCCCTCCCTCTCACACATGCTCACAACCAGAATCCACATATGAATCACAAGAACTTTTAAGTATATAAATCTTGTTTCTGTATAAATTATCTACTTCACACGTTTTTGTTATATCAATGGAAAAATGGACTAGCACAGCAACAGTAAAAACCAACTATGGCTTAGGTTTAATTATCTCTTACATAGGACAATTGTTCCCTAATGGAAATTGTGAGACTAAAAGGAGAAGCTCATTAACTTTGTGTAATCTTCTCTGCACAATGACAAAGAAGAAACAGAATTATTGTGCATAAGCACAAACTCGGCAGCCAGTGGTGAAGCATACTTCAGCCTCAATGCCCTTCAATGGTAGAGCTCCTCTCTAATACAAGACATTCTCACAGCAAGACTAGATTTTCTCACATATAACAAGAAACTGCATCATAAAGTCAGACTATTAGTTCTATCTGTACATGTTGATCTGGCTCTTTTGTCATTAGAGGTCTGTGTTTAATCTTACATCCTAGAGATGCTGTGTAAGGCTCAATTTTTCCATGAGAAGATTAATAATGTTCAAAAATGGTTCTGATCCCTAACACAGCATATGCCACATTTTATAAGGGCTTTATGTCAGAATGAAGTCAAAGATGACAAAACTTTCTATGCTGCCGAGAGCCATGAACTGAAAAAGTCTTCTTTAATTATGTTTTTGCTTTATTCTTTTTCTGTTTTCAAAGTTTCCAAATAATAGCAAAATTACATAGAGAATCCCTTTCAAGATATTTCCTTTCATACTATATTTTCCATTAAAAAATTAAAGTTCCATGGTTCATGGCTATACATCTTATCCCAGCTCATTTTTCATTATGTTCTAATCAGATCGATTTAAAATGTGACCTTTTATGAGGAATTAGAGTTCATGTAAATTTCATCATGCATTATTTTACATTTTTTTAAAAAACCTAGAATAGGCTGCTATAAATGAGAAGGCTGTTAGTAGGCACAAAAATCTAATAAAAGACTGTTTTTTCTTTTTTTAATACAAGTTACTTTAAATAAGCAAATATTATTAATTACTCTTTAAATGTATCTTACTACCTTTTTATATTCAAAGTATTTAAACTTTTCCTTGTATTCCAATACCAATGTTATAAAATTTTACTTATTAGCATTTATAATAAGTTACCATTGGTTAATTACATTGTTATAGTACCCTTGAGAGGATAACAAATATACTATCTAATCAAATAACCAACCATTCACGTGAAGCCAATAAATTCAACTACTAAGAAAGAATAAGTTCGTTATTTAGGAAGTAAAATAGAAGGTCGAACATATTTAGATTCTAAGAGACTAACAAAGAACATCAAACATTTATAAACCTTAGAAGGAAAGTAGTCCTTCAATACAGAATTACTATGGATGAGAAAACCTAGACCCAGAGAATTTAAGTTGCTTGCAGAAGATTAGAGAGAGCTCAGCTCTGACCACATCTGAGACTAGGTCATTGGCCACTAATACACAGAACTAAAACTGCCTCAGAGCCAGGGAATCCATAGGAAGAAAGCATTCTACAACCAGCACACTTTGCATTTACACTTGATCCAATTTCCTTTGCTGTTTCTGTTTCTGGGTGAGTGACTGGGAAGTTCTAAAAGAGAGAAGAGAAGTGCTTGGCCTCTTGAACAGGAGTCCAAGTTTTAGGGGAATAAATATTGACTTCAAAAGTGAAAGTTAAGGATTCACCCAAGCTATTTCACAAATGACAGTAACTTTGGACAGGGTTTAGTCATCCTATTATACAGTGAATGGAGTGATTGTAATGTTAAGGGACAGAATTTGAGAACTAATACATGACAGAGGAAGGATTATACATTTCTGAAAGTTAACAGTATTTGAAAATTGTCATAAAATACCATGCTATCATACAAGATTCAGACA